CAGAGCTGTTGCCACCACTTAGGTGGGGAGCAAGGAAATCCTTCCCTTGAGATCTGACCCATTTGCCAGCGTAATTCAACTCATAAACATCTTTGAAGTGACCATCTGATTTTGGGCTGTCCCAAATTCAACTTCCTGAAGCTGCCCAACCACAGTTGTCCTGAGGATGTTCTGCTGCTGCATCTTGGCCGTGTTGGGTTCATGGTTGGACTCAGATGATTTTGGAGGGCTTTTTCCAACCTAAGTGATTCTGTGATTCCCTTCTTCAGATGTCTTTATTTCTACTGACTGAGCCTGCAAACTGTGTTACCTGCCTTGGTTACCTTCTCATTTCCCTTCATGCAGTTGCTGGTTTGCATCTCTTCTTAACTAGTCCTGTCCCAGGCAGTGTCTTACGACCTGATGGTTCTTTTTACATCTATTTTGTATAATATTTTTGTTGAAACTCTGGGAAAACTTTGCTTGGCCGAAATTTTTCTGGCCACCTGTGATTTTTATAGGGGAAATTCCCATATTTCTCATTTAAAATTCTCACTTTAGGTTTTTTTATTGAAGACAGCAAGGGGTGTCTTTTCTGTTCTTTTTCATCTTTGTTTCAGTATTCATTGTGCAGATGTGTATTAGCCTGGTGAAGCCTAGTTGTGATGATCTTCACTGGAGGTGGAACAGTTTAAAGAAAGCTTTGCAGTCTGATTTAGTTGTTTGTAGTTCAAAATAATTTAAGAGAAAGATGCCTTTTTTTATTTACCAAACATTTGCAAGTAAACCTTAAAACCCCATCATAGTAAATAGCAAATAATTTTCTTTACAGGGTCTTTTCTTTCCTTGTGAAAAGATGGGATTCTTGCCAGCCATTAATGTTTTCAGAAGATTGCTGCTGTTTTCTCCTTATTATATTTCAAATAGTAAAACATAAAAAATTGACGAGCTTTCTCAAAAAAAAAGAAGTATCCAAGTTTGACATCTCTTATTAGAATACCATTTAACTTCTTTTCAGCTGGAAAATAAAGGATGTAAGAAGGGAAGATCAGTAAACAGTGCTGAAATAAGAGGATTTCTTTTAAGAAAAAATCTCAAATGATTAATTGCTTCTGGAACCTTATTCTGCTGCCTTTGGAGTCAGTGGGAGGCTTTAACTTTATTTTCCCAAGAGAGCAGTGGGGCTCACTCTGACTGGCAGTCCCTCTTTGCTATTGTATCTACGATCTACAATACATTTATTTTAAAAATATGCAAAACATTAAATTCAGAGTAAGTTTTGTACTTGGTAAAAGCTGTCTGTGTGCCTCCTGCAGATGCTAAAAGTACAGTTGTCAAGAAAACACCAGTTTTCCGGTTCGCTGAGGAATGTGGTTGTGGCTGTGTATCAGTTTCGTGCATAGCAAGTTCTGAAGACTTTTTTAAGAGGGGAAAAAAAAAAAAGTCGTAACTGGAGAAACCCAAACTTTAAAATGAATGGTCATTAAGTTTTCCAAATTATTAATTGAGCTGTGAGTGAAACCAAGAACAGGACAAAGAATTTTGCGCCGTGAAGCACCGTCGTGGCTTGAACGTACCTTACATAAACCAAACAGGAAATTCTACAGAGGAAAAAAGGGAATTAAGAACTCGGTCTTGTTAATCGAGGTTTTGGCAAGCTGACCTTTTGGTCCTTTTTGAAAACCCCAGTGTGGGATGCACCATGAGCAGTGTTTGAGTTCCTTGGTGTCTTTGCTGAGTACAGTGTGGGGAAGGTTCCCTGTCGTGCTCTCCTGGTTGCTGTATTTGCCATCAGCTGCAAGTCTCTGGTAGGAGGGAGATGGTGCATTCCCCGAGAGCATCTGAGTTTATTTCTGGGGAGCAGCTTTTTGGGAGGACTGGATAGAGACTGGTCAGAAAGGAGCCTTAGGCAGGAATGGAGATGGAGGAGGAGAAAACCAGCAGTGTTGGTGCACACTCAAACATGGAAACAAAGACTTATTTCAGGGATGCAAAGGGATTTGCAAAATTGGGTTGTTAATGGATTGAGAACAAGCCTGAAAAAAAACTGAGTGAAACCACAGTGGACCAGGGGAGTTACTTAAAAGTATTTTATTCATCTTGCTTTTAGTTTTACTATTCACAAGTGCCATGTTTTATGTATTTTGCTAATAACACAGAGCTCTGGAGTTTACAGTGCTTTTAGTGTTTAATGATGCTCACTCTGAAGGAGGGAACAGGCAGCTCCTCCATCACTCAGCGACTCAGGGTCTCATTGCAGTGGTGGTAGAGACAAATATGAGCCTTGAGGCAGCCCTGGCCTTGGGGGCTGGAAATGAGCAAAGATCTGTGTCCCCTGAAGACTGAGGCAGAAGATTTGATTTGTATTTTGAAGAGACAGTGGGACAGAAACATTCCCTCAAGTCTAGAAAAGAGCTGCAGAGAGTGTGACATCCCTTTTTTCGAAAAACTCAGCTGGTCGAGCTCCTTGGTGGTCCGGGTGTTTTTGTGGCACCTGAGAGGGGCAAATGCTACAGAAATTAAAAGGAGTCAGAGTCAGGCATTGGATTATTCATCTCATGGCTCAGATGCATGACCTTTATCTATAGAGTCCCCAAGAACCAAGTTGCATCACCAGATTGACAGAGACAGAACTGGGATTAAGAGGCTTGAACAGGAGGAACATGGCAAAGATAAGCCAGTGCACAGGTGGGGCTGCTCACAGAAATAATATCTGAAGAGTATGTGTTAAAATGACCATATTTAATTTAAATACATCTCACAAAGATTTCCAAAATAAATTTTAAAAAAAAGGAAAAAGCTAGCAAGACATCTCTTACAGCTTTTGAAATTATTTACTTGCTCTGAGATGCGGTAGTTTCATCACGTGCTATAGGTGAAGACTCCAGAAATCAACTTGTTGAGACATTCCTTTAGAACGGTGTAGGATTGAATTCAAGGTAGCAGAAGACTTGCAATAGAACTTTTAAATTGATCTCAGGATGATACTGCTCTGAGAATATGGCAAATGAAAATGGGAGGCATTAGAGCCTGTTGAGAACTGGATGCTCTGGTTTTGGAAACATCTCAGTGGGTTAAAAGGACTAACTCTGGGGAATTGGTCAAGTACCAGATTTGGCTGGAACAGTGATAGATGAACGCTCTGAGTTGACATCATAGAGTTCTTCTCTCTGCCCTGTGAGAAGCAAAGAAATCATATCATGAGTGCAGAGTGACACATGCTTGAAATGTTAAGATACCTGAGGCAGGGATGAAAAATGTACTTTTCCTCGAAGGAAAGATCCATCTGTGATAAAAGGGTCGTTTTGAGGCTTTGGAGACTCAGTCTGTCGAAGACACTCTAGAGAACTGGGGCAGAAAAGGTGTTTTCTCCTGCATGTGGTGGTTATAGCTGTAACTGTGAAGAGGAGGAACAGAGAAATGCTCTGGATATTCCACAGTATTTTGGCATGCCACTTCTGCAGGGAAAATCCCTGAAAGGTACTGAACAAACCAAACCTGATGAGCTGAAAGGGAGGCAGGTTGCCTTTCCCAGAGGATGGAGGTGGATGGCTGGGTGGCAGGTGTACCTTGGGCTGGCAGGGCAGAGGGGTTCAGAAAACTCATGTTCATCCTAAATTGAATCCAAAGAGGATTCAATAGGTCTCACTCCTGGAAGTGCTGGGGTAGGAGGGAAAGAAAATGCCTGGTTTTGTCAGCTCACGTCAGAAACCTTGTTTGTAAAGCAGAAAATTACATGACTGAAGGAGATGTGCAGGGGGAAGCAAAGAAGGAAAACCTATGGAACCCACTAGGAAGAAGGCAACCTGTGTAGGAATACTTTAAATGTGCTTTGTCCTTGGTGGGATTCGATGAGGGAGGAAAGAAGGGAGAGGAAGAAAATGGTTTCATGTCCTAATTTTCAATCAAGCAAGTGATTGATGAAGGCAAAAAAGAGAGGGCAGAGTGGGCACTGGGGAGATAATTCATAAACTCTTTCTGTTACTTCACCTGAGTTTTTTTCTGTGCAATAAATACATAATTACTGTAGTTTGTTCTAGTAAAACTCAGCTCTAGTATTAACAGTCATATTCTTGTGTCTTTTTGGTGTCTCTTTATGGAAGGGTGAAGGAAAATCCACGTCTTACTTCAGTTCCTGCCAGGCAGTTTGTTAATACCACTGATCCAAGTACTTCCATATGAGTGAAGTCTTGAGAAATCATTGTTAAGTTGGACATATTAATCATATCAGCAATGATAGGGAGGCCTCTGGGTGAGGGAGAGACCATTTGCATGACCGATAGTTTGAATGAAAATGATTTTTCTGAGGAGTTTTGCTGAACTGTTTCTCGGTTAAAAAGTGAAAATGGGTAAACAAAAAGAAAAAGGTTTTTGAAAAATTGAAATTTTTAATCCTGACCAGTGACAGAAAATGTAATTAGGTTTTGCTTTGGTTTGGTTTTGTGGCGGTTTTATTTGTACATTTAAGTGCGAGTTATCAGCTTTTGAAATAATGAGAAATCAGAGAGAGAAAGGAACATTTTCTGCACTTCTAGACCAGTGACTTGAAAGCAGAATTAGATGCTTTGCTAGGCTTGTAATTGTGTTTTAAGCAAAGAAAATTTTCCTAGTTTTAGAAGCTAAATGAAGTTGGGAGCAATTTGCTGTATGATACGGAATACAGTGATTCAGCATTCGTGGTGGGAGCTATTTATAGTCACTCTATTTTTATTCAAAGCTAAACAATAGCACTGAATTTCAGGCAGTTGGACCAGATGCTCAGGAAGGTCTCTATTGAAGCTGAGGAAAATATCATCTTGCTGGATCCTGAAGGCTGAACTCGTGAGGTCCTTCAGCATTACAATTCCAGCGCTGTCCTCCAAGGGTGAAATCCAGGGCTGTGCTGGGAAGCTGCACTGGCAATCTCTCCTTAAAATGTAGTTTGTATCTGCTGTTAAGGGGTTATCAGCATTCTTTGTATTTTATATCTGAAGAATTGAGCAATGTAATTAATCCCTGTTTATTTTAACCATCTCTTGCAGGTTTTCATGGCTGTTCTGATTCCTGTTGCTGCAGCCAGCGTGGATCCGGATGCCGTGGCTACAGAGGCTTGTTACTTTCTCATGCTGGATCCCTCAAATCCAAGAGCTACTTGGCAGTTTCCAAGGCAACCACCTGTGGAATAATTAAAAAGGATGAAGTGTTAGCCTGCCAGATATAAGGAATTCTTGCCTGGAGAGAGCATTTCACTTTCATCTGCCTTGAAGAATCAAATGTGCTTCTGCCAGCAAAGTTAAGGTAGTACAATTAAAAAGTACTGATTTATTTTCTGGAAGTACTGAAAGTCTGAGGTGGAGCAACAAACATGACATGACTGTAAGAAAATTGCCACGGTTCATATTTTGGGTGTATTTAAACATAAAACCCAGGAGGAAGGTGGTGATGGAAAGCAGTGTGGGTGAACAGTATTTTGTATAAGTAAAACAGTTGCCTGGACTGTTTTACGTTTTGTGCCGTCTTCCCTCAGATGATTTTAAGCTGGTAAAGGACTAAAACGGAGCATACATTAGTGGGAGCATAAATATAGGAAGTGCAGCCTTCATGCCAAGTACACTGAGATTTCTTTGGCATTCAGTGATAGATATAAAAGGAATGTAGGAGTGGGCTCACTGCAAAATGACAGTCGGAATCAGGGATCGATCTTCATCCCAGAGCCTAAAGGGGTGGGCAGTGACTAAATCCATGTTTAAACTGAACTGATAATCAGGTTTAGCTGCTTTGGTGAAACAGCAGCCAAAACCATTTTGAAGCCCATATTCCCAGATTCAGAGCTGAAATTGCATTGTGGAAAAAACAAATATTAAGTGAAAGAACCCCATTAGAATAATAAAGAATAACAAAAAATGGCAAATTCATTTCTGAAAGTTTGAAGTGTTGCTACAGAAGTTAGTGGCAAAGCTGTTAGGCTTTAGATAACTGGAAAAGTTCTTCTACAAGTAGAATATGTTACTGGATGTATCTGCTTATTATATCTTCCTTTTCTGCCAGTCATTCAAATGTAGTTGAATAGAAAAATATTATTCATTTCTGACAATGGAGTTAAATGGAGAAAACCACATTCCCATTCTTCCCATAGTCCAAATAACTGCTCAGTTAAGTCTGGTTACCTTGCCTGATGCTCTTGCACAGTTAATTTTAGGCGTGATGCTTTTATATAGTTTATTTTAAGCAAAAAAAAAAAAAAAGTTTTAAATTTTGAAGTAGAAATATTTGGGATGCCATCTGGGCTTTACATAATAAATTTTCCCTGCCAAAATGTTTGTGGGATTCTGTTGGGATGTGGATGGGATTTCACATTCCATCCCTTCCACAGCACAAGAGGATCATTGTTTTTTAGATACGGTGGGTCCAAGAAGAAATAAGAATTGTGTGGTGGCAGCTCTGTGATTTGAGGGAATACAAACAGAATCTCTCCAGTAACCACTGACACCTTTTACAGCTGTTTCCCAGTTTCAGAAGTGAATATTTTGCAGGTACCAACTGAATACAGCTGCAGTTTTCCACCCTTATACTTGATTTCCAGTTCATTGGTTCGTTGTTCACTACATATTAAATGCCAAATTGTTTTTCTTTTTGAAGTAATTCTTCAGGCTTTTCAGTTCCTTTCAGTGTGGAGCTGAGAAAAGTGAGGTTTTTTGAGACAAATGCTGTTTTCACGTGTGAAGGGAGTGTGCTGGCAAAGCATCTGCATCAAACACAGTGGGGAGGCTACAAAATTGAGACACTGTGCAAGTACAGTAAAGGTAGTTGGTGTGTGTGAATCCAGATCTTTCCAAGAAGCATAAATAACTCTCAAAGGTGGAATTGGATAGTTGTTAAAGAGCATATTTGGGTGTATTTGTGTAAGCCTCGTGTAATAGCTGGGTAGCAATCGGGTAAAGGATTGCAGGATTCCCAAGGGTGTGCACAGAGAAGTTTCATCTTGCATACTCCTTCAAAACATGCTAAACACACACAGGAACCTCCCTTTTTTCTGTTTTGCCTTGAATACTGTGGGTGAAAGTCTTCTCATGAAGCTTAGATGTCCAGATTCTGCTGAAGCAGATGGTGAAAAGGAGGTAGGATGAACAGCTCCCTGAAGGTTCCTATTCCAGGGATGACCTGCCTCTGTAAAGGTGCCTGTAGAAAAGAACCTCTCTCTCTTCATTCATTGTTCAGCCTGAACCACTGATTTAACCTATTTGTCTGACTTTTCAGAAACTTCTAAGTGTGTAAATAAATGCATTTGTATATCAAATTCACCTCTGCTTTTTTCTCCATATTTCATTCCCAGCCGGAGCTTCCCGTGCTAAGTGGAGTTGCACTTCATTCCTGGTACAACCCACTTAACTCATCCTCTTTTTCACAACTCGGTCATTTGACCCTGCCAGTTGTTCCAGGCTTCATCTACAAGCCTGTGGTTCTGTATGGAGGGTGCTGGAGAGGCCCATGGAGTTTGTTAACATAGTTTGTAATAGAAATAAAAACATCCAGGCTAAATTTAGGCAGCTGGGCTGTGTGAAAGAAACTACAGTGACCAGGCAGAATTGCGTTCTGATGTTTTGTATATAGGTTATGTTTTAATAATCTTTATCCCTGAGAAGTTTTACAGGACTGAAGGGGAATAGTAGCTCAGGATTAGTGATGTGTTCAATAATTTTAATCTCTTAGAGTGATTCAGTACATGTCAACATAGAAGTTGTTTCTGTAGCCTTGACTATAAAGAATTAGTGCTATATGCACCCAGAAAAAGTAAAATTTTCTTTGTACTCTTTTTTCTGTAGCAGAAGATTTATGTTATGCTCCGTGTTGAAGTAACTTGATGATGTCTTTTTGAATGGAAAAAAATGGCAAATGCTGATATGGTAGTTCTCTTAGAGGTTATTTTGATGCTGTGGTTAAAATTTTCCCTTATTTTTATACCATCAGAACAACTGTTTCAAGAGTCAATTACAGTGTGGTAGTGTGTCATTAAAATACCCATTAATTTTGTTAAATAGATAGGACTGTTTCCTAGAATAGGTAGGACTTTGATCTTGTTGCTTGGAAATCCAGGTGATTTTTCAGATTGGGATTTTTCAAAGGGAGTTTCTCTTCTTAGCAAGAGGAGCATGTAGTGAAAATGAGCAATAAGCAGCAAGTCACCTTCCAGTTAGTGGAAGAGGGAACTCAAATAGTGAATGGACCCTTTTGTCTAGGCTTGATTTTCCTTTCAAAAGGAGGGAACTGTTCTGCTGCACTTTGGTGGATGAATGGTTTGTGGGGATCAAAGCTGCATTGCAATGATAATGGTTTTGCATATAGAATTATCTAAGAGATGACTGATAGACCTTATGCTTAGTCACCAGATCCCTCTCTGCCCTCCAGCTGCTACTGCTGTGCAGTTTGGAGATGCCTTTCCAGTTTAGTTCAGAGGATTTTCCCCGACAGATTACACAGAAAGAATAGAATAAAAAGTTCCAGCAACTTTACTGTTATTTTAGGGACCTGTTGATCCCTCTTTGAAATCAGTGAAATAGCTAATAAAATGTTTGGGGGATTTTTTAGCAGTAGACTTGTTGGTATTAGCCTGTTTAGAGCTCCCCCTTCATGGTGTGAAACTGGATGATGTGATCTGTGTTGTGATATTTATAACAGGCAAGGAAGAGATGCTGACACTGTAACAGTCCTTTGGGATATTATACCTGTGACAGAGAAAATGACTGACAGAGAGGTAGTGAAGGTAAGAGTAGGAGAGCAGCTCTTCTTGTACACTCATCCAGAGCACTGATTTCTCTCCATCCATGGCCACGGGTGGGTTTTTGAGGAACACAAGAACAGAATGAGAGTAGAATCCTCCTTCTGCACACTCTTCATTATCCAGACATCTGTAGCACAGGGATTTACTGAGCTAGATTTCTTTTTTTACAATGATTGCTGGACTTGTCTTTTGGAATTCGTTAATGAGAAGTATTAGGAGCTGTAAAACTCTGTGGTTCTCCAGCCTACCGAACATGGCAGCTTGTTCAGTGAGGAACCATATTCTTTTGTTTAGTTTAGAACCAGAATTCCATAAAAAAATCTGCTTCTTGCACTGGAAGTGACTTAAATAATTCATACATCCTCTCTCCATGACAATCACAGTTTTCTAGAGCTCAGCCTGCTCCAAGGGTTGAGTCAGTTTGGATCCTGCTGACCTCTACATGAGGTAGAACCACTTTCCCCACCTCCAGTCATCCTATTTCAAACTTAATTTCATGGAGATTCCTCCTGAATTTCATTGATGTATATTTTATTGTCCAGTCAGTAATGTACCCACAGTCCTTTTTCAGTTTTTCCCACTCATTTACTGCTTTTTGCTACTGCGAACAACTTCAGTATCATCAACAGATGTTGTCATCTCACTGTTGAGCCCTTTTCATGTCATTTATGAATTCATTGAACAGTGCTGGGAACAGATCCCAGCTCAGATCCTCATGGAGAGAAGAGCTGAAATGGCACCAAGTCCTGCCAAAAGCAGAGAGTGGGTTTGCCCGCTGCAGCACGTGGCACAGCTGAATTTGTAGTAAAATCACTGTGTTGTTTTGGTACACTTAAAAATCTGGAGTAATTGTAAAATATTTAGTAGGAATGGATAATTTCATATATAAGATACAGTGTCATCCTTCATCACAGAATCACTGAAGTCGGAAAAGACCTTTTAAGATCACGAAGTCCAGTTGCATCAACCCAGCACCACCACCATATTCACCACTAAACCATGTCCTCAGGTGCCACAGCCACGTTTTTTGAACACTTCCAGGGATGTTGACTCCACCACTTCCCAGGGCAGCCTGTTCCAGGGCTGCATTATTTGTAATTTCACCTTTGAAAGATAGGGAGGGGAAGGAATTCTCGTCTTTAGATGACTGAGGATGATATTTAATATTCAAAAGGGCCAGACCTGCTTTGTTCACAACCTTTTTCCTCTTATGAGTTTTTAGTCTCAAAATCAGCTTGGTTGGAACTTGCTGGTTTATCACTCTCTGCATTGGCAGTGTGTAGAAAATAATGTTGAGTAAGGTAAATTAAGCAATTGAATAAATCTCCACAATCATAAATACATACAGGTTTTAGATGATTTAATGTAGGAAATTGCCTTCACAGTAGAACTGTTACTTTTTCTTGTTTTCTGACATTAATATAGCAAACTTGTAATACGTAACTGAGCCAGATCTGAAGGACCTGTAGCATAAAATAATAATTCTCATGGTAGCCTGTAGCTGCAGCTTAGGGAAGTG